CATCTTGATGATCTCGGCGCGCTTGTTGATCAGAGGCTGGGTAAGCTTGACAGTGTTGCGCACTAGATTTTGTTGTTAGCATGAATTCATTATTCGATTCGAGGTATTCCCGGCGGTTGCAGAGCTGCCAACGGGTTCACAAAAATTAGGAGATAGGACATACTCTGCTCAACCTCAGCGCGAGCGAACTGCTCCTCCAGAATGGCGATCTGCTTCATAGCAGACTCGGGGATGCTGGGCACCTCGATGCGCTCAAGGAGCGACTGATCCTCAGTAGACATGATGTAATATTTCGTGAAAACGTAAAGCTATGAAGTCGTAAAGGAATCAAAGGAAGTATGGTTAAGATAAAGGGAGAGAGTGAGAGTGAAGAAGAATCTTGAAAAGGGGAGAAAGATAAAATTTGAAGCGGGACAGGAAAAAAAAAAAAGTCCTGATGCGGATGACGAGCATTACAAACTGCTGAGCTAGAGTGCTACATGGTGATACCTGGTGGTACCTCTGGTTCCGTGGTACGCAGTGCGGCTACCCAAGTATCTCCTCGTACCCAGGTGTCCCCTCAGCAACTTAGTGGGGTTTAGAGCTATAGTTAAGGCAAAGGAAGAGAAAACTCTGACGCTGATCTTTAGTCTGTGGACCTGTGCCAATTGGTTCTTGAATGGTTCTTGAATGTTCGGCTTTGTGTTTATTCTGCCGTTGGGTTGTAAGGGGTTCGGGCAGGAATTGTAATGCACGAAGTAGAAAGCTGGAGCTGTAGAATCGTAAACAAAAATGTCGAGAATGTTTTGTCGATAACGAAAAAAAAATGTTCCTTATCAGAATGAGGGGCTTAGCGTGGAATACAATCTCTTCACCGACATCTTAGCTCAATTTCGGGGGCTATAAGCCTCGCTTCTAAGTGTACTCAATGTATTCTACAGAAGTGCTCATCTATCATCAGCCATACAGTATATCAATTGAGCATTCCATATTGCAGGAGATAGAAAGCTGTAGTAGGGGGGTTTTGAACTTATCTCCCAAAGTGCTAAACAAACATTTGCTTGTGTGTACGGAGTATAAGCCCATCGTTTGAATCTACAGCAAAGAAACGGCATAAAATGACAGTGGTCAATTAATATCAAGATCAGGATACCACAAGAGTAGACTCGTTCTACCTCTTTCAAACTCATATAAGCTCAACCCCCAATGACAACCCCAAAACAACATTGCTTTTTCTGCACCCCTCCCACTATCAGCTTAGCCCATAACAATATGAGATACATCAAGAATAGCGGGCCCGGGGCAAAGAACAATAAAAAAAGAAAACATAACCCAGTTCATCGCAATACTTTATTTCGACCTCAATTCTAGAAGTATATCCCTCTTCTGCCGGGTAGACTTGCCCACCCTAGAAATGACATCTAATAAACTAGGCTCGCTATCCGGCGTGCCATTCTCTATCTATCTGCCCATCTGTTTCTTTCGTTGTTTCTGATTTGTCGCACGTGAGTGAGATAAGAGAGGCGGTCTGCAGGATGAACCTAGGCGAGCGCACGGGGACCTGCAGATGGCGGAGGTTGGTTCATTGTGAGTCATGTGGATTGTTGACGGGGACCGTCGGGGATTGAGTCGGGGTTTGCTAGTTAATATAGTAGAAGGAGAAGAGAGTATAGTATAGTATAGTACAGTAAAGTAAAGAAAATAGAAGTGGGCATAATCGTGATCATAGCATTGAGCACATAAATCTGACAATAGCCAGAGTCGGGATATCTTATTCCATATTTTTTGTCTCCTTTTCGAGCTTGAGGCTGAACGAAACAAAAGCAAAAGCAATTGAAACACAAAAAACAAAAACACTTTTTTTTTCAGTGGCGAGTCTGAGATCGATCTGATCAAATCATGTCAAACCACGTAGAATGGACAACCCTCGTTCGATGCTACCCCAAGCATCTTTCCGATTAAGAACCGAGGTTAAGTCATGAAAGTCCATATATCCCATGCCATTTCGCCAAGAATGCAATGATTAAAACAAAGGAAAAAAACAGCAAAAGGTAAGTGTACATGCACAGAACATCATCACCATGCACGTCTCACCCGGTCGAACTGTCGTGATAAGAGTAAAAAGAAGAGTCGCAAAGAGCAGAAAGAGGAAAAGCAAAGTCATCATAGATAACTAAAGCATCCAATCTAACCCATTCGCCTCCTCTTCGACGGGGAACACTTCCCGCGCATACTCTTCCATATCGCGCCAGCCCTGCCACAGATGTCGAGATTCATCCGTCACCCGCAGCGAGATAACCCCACCAGGCCCCTGCATCATACCCGCACCAGCACCCTTTCCACCCGCGGGCCCGAGACCCTTTGGTGAGCCAGCGGCTGGCTGTGAGAATTCTGGTTGTGGGAAGTAAGGTGCGTCATATGTGCCGAACAGGATCTCTAGGGCTTCTAGTTGTTCCCGGTACCCTGGTGGGATATTGACCTTGATTTCGATTTTGGGCACGCGGACGTAATTGCATGGCCGGTCGAGGGCGCGAGAGAAGGCTGCGCAGACTTGGAGGGGGGAGAGGGTTTCGAATGTGAGTGCGATGCTAGTGGATGTCAGTCTTTCGTTCTTCATTCTCTTTCCCTTTCTTTGTCGGGATCCGGGGTTGTCCTACCGATGACCATTCCATTTCTTCGTTCCATCCTTGAAAATCTGCAGCAGAGTCGGTCCCACATCATGCTCCGCATCCAGCCAGGGTAGTGGAATATCCGGATCAAACGGCGCACGCCACTCAAAGCTCCCATCAGCCAGCAACTCCATCTGGAAAAGCGGATAGGGCAAGCTAGTAAAATTATTGTTGTAGATACCGGCGTAGACAAAAGTCGCCGGCATGCCCAGCTGGCGAATATAGTTTTCCACTGTGAACTTGGGCGCCCACTGCGGAACAGCCGGCCAAGGTCCATGGACCGAATGATCCGGCATACTGCTATAGATGTAATGCTGGATAGAACCGGCTCGTTTGGCAGCGTCGGCGAGGGCCCGGCCGATGGCTACCTCGTCGCCGGACTGGGAGGTGGTGTTGATGAAGGCGAGTTGCGCGCCCTTGAAGAGCTCGTCCATTAGGGCGACATTGCCGAGGAGTGGTCCTTGCAGGAGTGTCACGTTTGGTAGTTCGGCTAGCTCCGGTGCGATTGTGCCTTTCAGTGAGTGAATTTGCGCGCGTACTGAGTACCCCACGGCGGACGCGACGCGGATTAGCGACGCCGCTTGCCGGCCTGTCGCGTTGACCACGGCAATGGTCTTCTGCGGTTGTGTCATCCGGGTGGAGGGTGGAGGGTCCGGGGGAGGAGAAGGATAGAGTGGTTATCAGATGAGAGGGAGTAGGCCAGATAAAAGAAGAAAATCCGGAGTAAGCCTTGGCGAGGTGGTGGGGTACCTTGGGAGGTCAAAGTTGAAAGGTCTCCGAGATTATGCGATTGGAACAGTCATCAGTCTCCAATACTTTGGATCAGCGGCGGCGCGAAAAATTCAATTCTCAACTTCGCAATTTTGACTGTTTGCGGAAAGGTGGAGGATAAGATAAGAGTATAGAGTAGGCACTAATAGAGGATCAGTCAATGTGCGCTATAAAAGCCTACCTAGGTATATACTTATACTTATTCAAGTCTCATATGACACCATCGCGGGACTCTTAAAAAAAAAAAAAAAGAAAAAGAAAAATCGAGTGCTTTCCTTTACGTAAATCGGCCATTCGGCACCGGGAAGATCCTTGACCGTACACTTTTCGGGACTCGGATGAGCTTATACTCTTACTCTTACTAGGAATGTATCTATAGACAGCTATTTCACAGTCCCCTTATAGTCACACCTATAGCTATACATGTAGATACAACTACACCCTACAGTACATCTATACCACGCCAAGAGCAACGTCGGATGGCCCCTCCGAGCCTAAGAATAACTAAATAGCGCAGGTGACTTCCACCAACAATCTGCCAGGGGTAGCCTCACGTGGTGTACTCCGTATATCTGCTGGGGCCTACTCAACCAATTGCGGCGGCTGCTACTCCAAAACCCACCCGATCCATAAGTTACACCTGTTATAGTGGGCAATGTGTACATGTGTGCCTGAAGACAGGAGTTCATGTACCTGTTTCTGCATGGGAACATCATCCCTAAAAGGTAAGACAAGACGAGGACGGGTATACGGATTATGCTATGGGCATGTACTAGCACTCTATACTCCGTATGGTGTGCTGTTTACCCTCGGATCGCCTACGCTAAAATTCCGAAACCCCGCAAACCCAATGCATCACATCATTCATGAGAGGATTTCCTAGATCTATGAGGCAATCGGTGGATTTGGCGGGTTACTTATTACTTGAGAGAAACGGTGTTTATACGTGTCCACCTTGTATACAGTTTGTACATACGAAAAAGCAACGAAAAGAAAAGAAAAGAAATAGGGGGAAAAGCAATGAATTCTGCAGGCTACCCCACCATTCTAACATCTAGAACCTCAACAGTGACCAAGCATGTAACCTACGAAGCCCTAACCCCAGAAAATCAGGAAAAGAAAACCTCCTTATCTTCCCCACTTGGTGGCTTGGTGCGGCAGGGCCCGATCTCCGCGGACTTGCTCTTAGCCATTTACACTATTGTTCTTAGCTACGGAGTACAGCTTGTTTAGGCATTGGGCATGAAGTGCCGGGTTTCAAGTCCTATTTCAGTATACATCAGTCGCAATATTGCGCAACCTAAGGGGAGTGGGACATGAGAAATGGGAAATGGTGCAATGAACCCGTGACCATTCTATATTCTAGCGTCATCTGGAATAATGTCTAGCAGGTGCAAGCGCAGAACTAAAACAGTCTTAGCGGCATTAAAGAAGGAAACGACAGGCTCCAAGGGTATTCTCGGTCTTGTGGGCCGACGGTCTTTCTAAATGTCCAAAAACGGGGAATAAAAGGAGTAGGAAAAAAGAAAAATATAAAAATATAAAAAAAGAGCACATCATATGACACCCGTGATTAACATGTTAAGATGGTGCTGATCCAGCCGTCATCCTACCTCGACCAGCGTCCCAATCCCACTCCTCGTCCATCTCGCGCTGGCTAATCTCTTTCGGTCCGACCCCCGCCAACCCCCAGACCGAGGGACGATGACGGGCCAACAGCTCAGCCGCGGGTCGCTCATCGGAGTGCAGGTGAGCACCCGACTTGCGGAGGAGAAGGACGTTCTCTGAGAGGCCAGCGTTAGCTGCGAGGAAGAGTGGGGTGCGGCCGGCGCGATTGCGGAGATGGACGGAGCCGCCTTGCGATAAGAGGAAATGGAGGATTGAAATTGCGGGGGAGGTTGAGGCGAGATGCTGCGATATGTTAGCTTGCTGAGAAAGAGATAAGAGAGAGTTTGGTTGGGGTGGCACTCACAATTGGCGTGTTGCCCGAGTAATCGGCGTCGTTGAGGAGCCAGTGGTGTTCGCTTTTGGTGATCGCTTGGACCTTCTCTAGGTCGCCGTGGGCGATGGCATAGCCCATTACGGTGAGCGTTTGGATGCGTTCGGGGAGCGCGCCGTCCGGGTGACGGAATACAGGTTGCGATGACTCGGTCAGCTCGCCGCGGAGTGATACTGACATGCGCTCGCGGACTGATTCTGGTGTGGAACCTGGGAGCGCGAGTAGGTAGGCCAGTTTGGTCAATGCTCCTTCGGTGGTCATGTCGAGACCTGCGACGACTCCGGCTCGGGAGAGACTCATGCCTGTGGCATAGACTGGACTGACGCTGCCAGTGAGACCTAGAAACATCAGTTCCATCCCACTGTTGGATAGGGCTATACTCACACTGTGTGATGTTCACGATAACAATGCCCCGCTGAATCGCACTAGCCAGAACGTTGATCATAGCATTATCCTGACCAGATGGCGCATTGCCCGCACCAAACGTCTCCAGAATCAATCCTCGCAATCCATCCAACTTCAACACCGCATCCACCATCTCCGGCTTGATACCAGGGAAGATACGCAGGCAAGCAACATGGGTAGTATCCAGATTAGTCTGAATACTAAAATGCTGCAAACTCCTCGGCCGGTGAACCATATCCCAATTAACATTCGTCCGCATAGAAGTGGTAACAGCCAACGGCGCACAATTGGGCGCATCAAACGCAGCAAAGTCACTAGCAGCAACCTTCGTAGTCCGATTCCCGCGGAACAATCTGTTATTAAAATACAAACACACCTCCGGAATCATGAAATGACCCGCAACAACTAGCGAGCCGAGCAGGTTATCCGTGGCATCATTCTGCAGCTCAAGCATGGGCGCCTGCGAGCCAGTAAGCACAACGGGCTTTCCCAAATTCTGCAGCATAAAGCTGAGCGCGGAACAAGTATACGCCAGACTATCCGTGCCATGCAGAATCACAAACCCGTCGAAGAGCGTGTAGTTCCGGAAGACCGTCTCAGCGATCTCGGCCCAGCCTTTTGCGTCGATGGAGCTGCTGTCGAGGAGTTCTTCGAACTCGAAGACTGTGTATCGGACTTGTCGTCCGTAAGCTGTCATGGGCGTGCGCAGACTGGGGTGTTCTTTGACTTCGTTGGCTGCGTTGGCTACCACGTCCATTGTTGTCGACGGTGAGCCATCGTTGAATGTTGGTACACGCGCCATGCATTTCTCTTGGAAGCCGCGCGCTGGGATGAAGCCTGATGGCGAAGGTTGCATGCAGATTGTGCCTCCTGTCATGATGATCAAGACGCGTGATTCTTGCACGGTCCCTTCAGGCTTTGCCTCGCCCATCTCTGGGATTGTTGGGACGGTCATCTTGTTGATACTGGCGGAGAGCATTCTTGTCTCTGTGCTGTTCGAGCTGGATAGCTCGACGGTTTGGTTTTATTTTCAATTCAATTCAATTCAGTGATACATGTATGCATCCAATCAGGTCGTTCACATTAATCTCGTTCAGTCGTAAACTCAATGGGCCTGATCCACGATAATTCTGCGGATCGCGGGGCAGATGACGTTAAAAGAATCAAAATTTTCACGATCACCGAGAGGTAAAACAGACGTAGTTCGATGATTGACTCTTTTGGCCGAAGTGTGGGAAACCCCAAGTGACCCCGATCGTATTACGTACGCGGGCCGTGATTGGCTGAACTTTAAGAATGTCTCCACTATCGGAGTACTGAAAGGCCTCCCGGTGGCAATTGAAGGAAGTAAACAGTAAGAACTTTCATTAACAATGGGTATATCGATCTATATGCTATACTCCTCCAATGCTCAATACATGCAAAATATTCACTCCGAATCTTCAATCTTTGCTTCACTGACCTCGTCACGCTTGAACGACTTGCGCCCACGAGCAAACCAGTCAACAAGAATAACAAACACAACCACACCGTAGACAGCCGAGACATAGTTCATGTTACCAGTCTGAACAGGCATAGTCGACGGGAACGAGTACATCACCAGACAGAAAATAGTCCAGAGGATGGTAACAAGGTTGGCAACCATTCCGAGCTTGCCCAGCCAGAAGGGGCCGTGGTGGATGTTATCACGGCCCTTGTACCACAGGCACAGAATGGGGATAGAGTAGGAGATGTACAGCAGCGAAATGCAAGCCGTCATCATACTGTTGAAAGCAGTGGTGGAACCGAGGTACAGCAGGCCCAGAGCGCCAACGATGAAGCAGCTGACAGAGTGCGCTACCAGGGGCACGTCCAGGGTGTGATTCACCTGCGACAGCCACTTGTGGCCGGGCATACCGCGGTCACGGGCAAAGGCCCAGCAGAGACGGGATTGCCAGGTGTGGCAGGCGATCTGGCAACCCATGCCGGTGACAATCAGCAAAGTCTCGAGGACGATGGCTCCGGCCTTGTTGTCCAAGGCTTGGTAGTAGAGCTCCAGGATGGGCACGCCGGTTGTGCTGTTCACCAGCGAGTCCAGATCTTTGATGCCGAAGAACATGGAGATACAGTAGGTCCATGAGGTCACGAAGCCAATGCCAACAGTGGTCATGATCGCGATTGGAATGTTCTTCTCGGGCTGAGGGACTTCCTCAGCAAGATGGGTGGCAGAGTCCAGACAGGCGAAGATCCAGTTGGGGTTGATAAGACCCACGATGAAGGCCATGCCGTCAGATTTCCAGCCAGTGGAGTTGACAAAGTGACCAAAGACATACTCAGCGCTAGCATGGGGACGAGCGCAGGCTGGCACGGTGACCAGAATAACCAGGAAAGAAATGAGAGAAATGTAGAGGGTGCACTTGGCAACAGCCGGAAGAACCTTTCCAAAGCAGTTGAAAAGGAAACAGAAGAAGTTGATCACTTGATATGCAACAACGATGTGCCACGACTCAATCTCACTAGTAGAAAGTCAGCCCACCACATGAATCAAACCAAGAAGCAAAATCATACAAATCAGGATGGCCAAGTTTCCACATGCCCACAGCGCCCTGGCCAAGACCAAGCACAACACTGGAGCAAGCAAAGATAGCACCAGCATAGCCAAACCAACCACTGAGGTAAGAAGCAAAACGAGCATACTTGCGCGGCGCCAGCTCATAAGCCCAGAAGTACTGACCACCAGCATTAGGCATGGAGCTAGCCAGCTCAGAAAGCGAAGCAGCCACGCCCAGCGAGATCAAGGTAATCCACAGCAAGCCATAAATGATCAGTACCGTTCCACCGGAGTTGATACCAGTGATCATCGAGGCAGAGATACCGAACCAGGAATTGGACATGCAGAATGCAATGCCGACCAGCGACAGAATAGAGAAATTCCGGTTCAGATCCTGTGAGTAGCCCATCTCCGCCAGGCGCGCGGCGTCGGAGTTGGAGCTGCTCAATTGCGAGTCATTGCTGGAGGCATTGGAGGCGTACTTGAAGTTGGCTGTCTTTTCGAGGTCAATTTCACCCATTACGTCGGTTTTCACTGGTATATAGGTGCGAGGAGTTTCGGGTTGGGGTTTTTTGTTGCTGTGGATAAAGTCAAGGTATCTATATAGATTCTCAGGCTTGTTGCATAGGGGTTTCGATGGATCGGTCCGAGTTTGGTGCAAAGGGACTGGATTTGGTGCTGTGGTATAGTTTTGCTGCTTTGGTGAGATGCAGGTGCAAGTGGGTGTCGTTGTTGCTTGGGACGTCGGTGATATTGATGTGGTACCCAGAGATCGTACAGAGTAACAGTATCAGATTACAGAAGCGAGTCTGTATAATTTGTTTTCTCTTCTGCTTATCAACAGTGTCGAGGAAGGAGTTCCCTAAAGGTTGAAGTGAAGCTGATCTGCACGGCAGAACAATGCTTCAGGAGAAATGAATGAATGAAATGTGAGAACTGAGGAATTGTCACAAATCGGGAAGCCGAATATCTTCTTTAATAAGATTTTTGCGTTTGTTCCTTGTTGGCAACTTACCCACAACAACATCATAGTAATACCTTAGCCGTTGAGTGGATTTATATTTTATACATCACTGGCTCAAACATAGGCAAGCCGAGTCCTCGGCCACTGCGTTGTTCGGAGCGAGCATCGTCACTCGGCGGGTCAGGCTCCAGTGTTTCCCGTGGCGTTTAAACCCGATTCAACGAATCCGAAAAAGACCCTCTTTTGGGATCCATCGGGACCAAACCGAGCCATTTTACACCTGCGGTTTTCATCTTAAATCCCGCACGCTAAGGGTTTCCACACGGGCGTTGAAAGATTTTTCTTGGCGACGTCATAGCCTTCGGAATGTTGTCGGAAGAGAATAATGACTATTGATTTTAACTCTTATTATTCATTACAGTAGACTAGAATGATGTATTCCTTCCTTCCGTATCTTTGCATTGGAAGTTCTGCAAAATACAGCGTGCATTGTGGAGTATCGGTTCTCTAACGGGTATAATATCCGTTGCATATCTACCTGCATAGTCCACATAATTGACTGTTTTCCAGAATTTTCATTAGAATCTGCCTCAGGGCTTATTTTTGTTTTCCATTTACTGTTAGTAAACGATGGCTTTGTATCAAACGTGAGATGAGCAGAATTCGAAACAGTACATCTATAGACCAGTCTAAAATGATAGGGCTTCCTTAGCGTTAGGCGGCCGTTTTCATTCGCGCAGGCCCCCTTTTTTGTTATGCAAAGTGAGAACTTCCTTTTCCGGTTAGTTTCGCTTTTTGGCTTTCGATGCCCTAACACACCGTCACGTAGTATATCAGAAGGAATTAGATATTCTTTATTTTAGGAACTAGGTAGGATAATGGAATTACATTTTTCACACTATCCTCTTGCTGGGACTGGTAAGCTTAAGAATAATGAGGCGTTTCCTTCAGTACTTCTTAGATTTTGTGTGATATGCTTTGCCTCATAATTGGTGTCCTAACCTAAGAAGCCGCGGTATATCAATTCCTCAATTTGTTCTAAGAGCTCATCAGGGCTTAAGTGCTAGCCGCTCCGAATTCTCGTGGGAGTGCGGAGAGATGTACGTCTATATGACCCTTGCGAGGGGGGTTAAAGGATCTCCGTAGACGACGATCAGGATAGGATATAAGTTGCGATGTGCTAATAGAATTATCTTGGATATGAGATTATCTGCCCGACCAACCAACTGAAGGATTTTTACAGTGGCTTGATTTTAAATACAGCATATAGCCCGTGAATTTAATATTGTTCATCACCAACCAGGATTGAACTGTGATAAATCCTCTTCTAAAAGCCCCATCATGTACTGATTTCCCCAAAACCAATTCCCCAACTGAGCGGCCTGCGCCATCTCTGCCGTAGCAGGCTCATGGCCCTGATTATGATACGGGAACCCGGTCTGATGCCCCTGCTGCGACTGTTGCGGCACCTCAGCAGAACTAACATGCACAGAAGGAATATCCGCCTGGAAATACCCCTGCGAGTTCGAATTCGAACTCGAACTCTCCGCCTGAACATTACCACTCCCACTCCCCACTCCACTGCCACTCATAGTATTAGTAGGTGCAAGACCCAGAGCACTTAAATAAACATCAAATTCCTGCCCAACCTCCGCAAGACTCAGGTCTTCGTTTGATTGACGGGTATTCGCTTCGAAGTAGAGGCGGGCGACGGTGCCGAGGACCGAACAGAGGGTGTGTAGTCTATCAATTGACGGCGAGTATGAGCAGAGGGGGCGTAGGGAGGCGATGAAATCTTCTAGTTGGGTGAGATCGGCTTGGTTGGAGGTTGCTATTACGTTGCATAATATTACTATGAATGGGACGAAAGGGGAGAGGAGGACGGCCCTGTTATTAGCGGCATATTTGTTAGATTTCGTTTTCGGGATATGGTAGAAGGTTCACCTCGGGGATGTATGTTAGAGGCTTTTGCAAAACACTTACCAGTGCATGTAAGAGATTTTCATGAAATCGGGCGTCTCGTTGAGAGTGGCGACGCATTGCCGATGGGTTTCTAATGCTTCCCGGGCTGTCTTGATACATTCTGGTATGAAGGTAGTGCCGGGACCGGGTCCATCTGACGCGGGAATTGCTCGGTATATCAGAGTTAGGATAGACAGGCGGCTAATCTTGTCGGTTTGGAGGTATATGAGATCGATATCGGAAATTTTGAGACCAGATGACATGAAAATCTGCATTAATGTTAATCCTCCGTAACTCTGTCAAACCCACAGGTACGAAGTGGACATACCTCAAAAGGCTCCATAACAGTCTCCTGCATCTCAGCAGCTAGTCGGTATGCATGTGCGACTCGGTCACTTTCTGGTTGCTGCAGCGCCTCTGGGCTATATAGTAGTCGATAGACGTTACTCTGGATGATGGCCGATCTGGTCCACCATACACAGACGCCACCCCACGGGCTGGGGATATCGGGGTTGACAACTGGTGCTGGAAGGCTGATGTCGTAGTTTTGAATGGAGGAGGCGCGCCCCAGGCGCAGAGACATCATGTTCAGTACTGTATAGACGGACCAGAAGAGAACTTGCTTTTGTCTTTGGATTGGTGGTGGATCATGCTCCATTGATGAGAATCGGTGATATCCAAGTGTTTGGCATAAATGCATGGCTGTTGACGCTAGGGTCCAGCCGACAGATGGTTTCGAGATCTCCAGTGCGTGCATAGCCTGTTTTGATAAGTATGGAGCTGGTACGGCTGAATCCAGACGAGGGTAAGAGACTTACACCTACGGCTAACGCCTTGATTGACTCCTGCGTTGCCGGCATCAGGATATTCAAATTAGCAAGCGCTGTCTCCAAATTGTTGCGGCACGTCTCGATGTAGCTCAGATACTCCTCTCGCAAATTAGGGTCCGGATCTGTGCTACCGAGTTCGTAGAAGATGCTGTATATACCAAAGTTGGATATAACAAATGCCGCATCCGAGTAATCATCTGTACAGAAATACACTTCGCGGCACTTTTCGGTAAAATAATCCACGCGGAGGAAAGGGACATAACCACCAAAGCAGGCAGGTGGATTCTCTAAACAAGTGAGATAAGCAATATGAAAAGATCATTAGAACCAAAATATGCCATACCTTTGATCTGCCGTAGCATCCTTAGAACCAATGGCAAGGGTGGCATCTCCAGGTCACGAATATCACACCTCACACCTAGCCTCGCTCTCTTGGTAGAAGCTTGATCCCCCTGCATATCGGCCTCTCGGCGCTGGTTTTGGATACTGACAATCTGCTTCAATGATGACAGAGCAGCGTTAATCTTTGGACTGGACAGAACCTGCGGCGAGCTCTTCGAAACAGCCGACTCAAGGAACGCGCTCGCATATGCCCCATGTGCAGCAAGAGACGAGCTACCCTCAAACCCAGAGCTTGAATCATGTTGCTCGAGTGTAGGGTTGGTTGTGTAAAGAGGGAGCTTGGACTTTCCGCTGTTCTGAGCTGTTGACTGTGACTGAGTTGAATTTTGCGGAGAAGGAGTATAATACGACTCCCGTTGTTGCGGCGCAGCAAGACTCTGTGGTTGAGATGTATTCCTAACTAACTCCTGAAGAGATCTCTCGATATTCCCCAGACGTTCTTCGATCAAGTCGATCTTTTTCTCACTGTCCTTCTGTTAATAATGGTCCTCCCGCATTGGGAGTAGAGCTGCGTATACATACTACTGATTTGAAATTAACACTCGTCGTCTGGGCTCTGTTGGCTTCTGGCCTTCGCCTGTTGATCGGCATGCAATGCTGGAGCTGCGACAATTGGAACATGGTGTTCGCTTATCGCATCGGATCTGTGCAAGGTTAGATCGGATCATGCATGTCGTGTCATTTCCATTGTACCTTTCGGAGTCGACATTGATCACACTTGCATTTCGAATATTATGTTAGCCTTTTTTGCTTTCTTTTTCTTGGACCGTATGTATGCCTCCGATGTCTATGCCAGGGGGTTGGTTTGTGTAGCACATACCGCACGTCGGACCAAGGCGCTTGGCGCTTCGCGTCCATCCTGATCGGATCCTTCGGGTTCCATTGGTACCAGGATGGTTCAGGCCTGCTGCGACGCCCAAAATGTCAAAATTAAGCGTGATTGAAGTGAAGCTTTAGAGGTTGAGCGCTGTCTCGGCTCACTTGCTTGGCTGGTGCCTATATGATCACGTGGTATGATCCTACTGCGGCGAATTCTGCAAAGACAATTCAAGATTTAGGCGGATCCATTGTAGAAGAAAAAAGAAAAGTCAAACAAGGAGGACGAGGAATTGTTGTAATATCTCTATTGAAACCTATCATAAACGAGTGATCCTGCGAACGCCGTGCCTCTCTAGCACTCAAGTGGGCACAGCGTGTCCAGCACACATATACCAAGGGTGTATAGGTCTATATTTGCAAGGGAATGTCAAAAGGAAAAGTAACGAAGTCGAATATCGTTAATGCAGAAAGCCAAGTCTACTCCTTCGGAGGTGAAGGAGGGTACCATGTGCCATCGCTCAGCCAGACCCCTGCCGGGCCGTATGTGCCAGCCTCGGCGCCCCTCAAGAAGGCGAATCGGAAGAAAAGATCTTCGGGTTCATCATCAGGGTCGCTATCAGCGAGTAGGACTGATTGGGGTTCAATATCGGTGGTGACATCGCGATTTACCAGGCGGGGTTTGGTCTGTAGCTCTAGGCCGTCATGACCATGACGGTGCCATGTAAATTCTCCCCGCTTATCTTCGTCAAGGTACCCGCGCCAGCGCTCCACGTCATTAAGGAGAACTGAGATACCATCTACTGCGAGGTCGGACATCCGGTCATGCTCCCATAGAGAGAAGGTGATATTCCCGTTGCCGCGATGGGTGTGGACAGACCCTAATTCTGGCAGCGAGATATTGACGGATGATTCGGTGATGTTCGGGTAAGTAGATCCCCACCAACCATGAATTCCATCTCCGAGTGGCGCATGCTCTCCCAAGGCGGCGGGAGTCTCAATGATTGAGGCGAATCCCCACCGGGCAACTCCGTTGATGAAGAGACCTAGCAGTAGGCCCTGGTAGATGAGCGATGGACGAGTAGGGAAAGCAGTTCCTGGCATGAGAAGAATAGCCAGGATATAATGATGGATCCGAAGCCGAAGACCAGGAAGAGGAAGCAAAATCAAGATTATCAGCAACATCGTGCAGTAGATTTTCAAATATCGAGGAAGCAAGCCTCCCTGACGAATCTGCCATGCTTGACTCAGAACGATCGCGAGCACAGTTGGAATGACAAGAGCCAATGCGAACTTCGCTCCCGGTTGCTTCTGGATGTCCATCGGAGTAAGGCGCTGCAGTGGAATCAACCGCGCAAATGTGTAGTTATTCAAAGCACCAATGAAGAGCGGAGGCAAATAGAGCAGCATCTTTGATAGCTGGTAGATGGGAGAGGAAATTGGCTGTAAAAGCGGTGCCGCACAGAACTTATATAGGACATAAACGACGAAGGAAGCCGGCAGTAGACGAGATAGAAGACTAGAGACAAGGTCGGCCAAGGTGGGATATGAGGGCGGGTCGGCAACTAGTCCGGTATGACAGAATACCATAAAGAATGTACTGAAGAACAATATAGGTGGGGACGTGCAGAAAAGCCATAAAATGCCAACAGCAGCAGCTGTGACTCCGAGCAGGGTCCAGCGCGGGTCTGATGGGCAGCTGGCCTGCGGTGAAGACAGCTGGAGGAAACTGAAGGCCTTGGGGAAGGTTGATGGGAAGGCAGCAGACAGAATGCCATGCTGCTCAACTGAAGGGAAAGAGTGCGCCGCACCCTCAAGCTTCACAACGCCGCAGCCGCCATCATTCGAGATAGCACCGACGTGGATTGCCGCTTGGCAGACAAAACTGTCCGCGCGGTAAAGTGCCCGGTCAGAGGAATCAGGCTGAGGACCTCCAACCACTAGTCCTTGGTAATTATATGTATGGTTTCCCACAATGTGAGGCTCCAGTAATTTGGTGTCACGGCAATTCGCGGGACACCGGAAGGCAATGGTTGAGGAAGAAAATGGACGGCAGTCGTTCCCATTAATTCCACATCCATTATCAAACTCCCTAAATCAGTCAAAACGTTAGTAGTGAATGCAAAACATAAGATTCTCTCATTCGACATACCAGAAGTTTGACGAACACGACAGGGTCTGCGGCCGACCGTATCCTTCAATATACCCAGAAGAGCGCGAGTGCAGCAAGACAAGGAACCAAGGCAAAAACCAAGACACATACAGCAGCAGCAAAAGCAAAGTTTTATATTTGCGCTTGGGCAACAGACGGTCAAGGTATTGAACGGGCAGTTCCTGGACTCGCGGAAACAGCGGCTTCAACAGAAGCATATGTGGCGGATCAGGGCCTTTCACCCACTTGGCAGTTGCGCGACCGACCTTTCTCAGCGGCAACGGAACCCATCCCCAGCGAAAAGTCTTGGACGACTCCCGTAGCCAGATGGGAAGTGCGTGGCCTGCTTCAACGTCGGGCGGCGGTAGGTCTTCGGAAGTGTCGGGATCGACAGGACGATCGTCATCCTCGAGTAGAGGTGGTACATAGAGCCTGGTGGCCTCCTCGCGACCCTCTCCTAACATGGTGGAGGGTTATATCGGAGGTAAAGAGTGCTGTTGTCCGTAGAACTGGAACGAACGGTGGGTATGATGTATGATGTCGGAGGTTCGGTGGCTTTGGGTACTAGTGCGATAGACAGTGGAGATCTCCGTGATCGGTATGTAGGGCGGAGGATCACCAGGGACAAAACCCTCAAGCGAACAGAGCGAGAGATCCGTGCTAGACTTAAATCATGAAGAGTAAGAGGTTGTTAATACAAACGAGAGGATATTGGAGAGAATGAGAATGAGAAGAGGAAGAGAGAGAGAGAGAGAGAGAGATGAGATCTGGGGAAGTGGGTGTGTCAGGCAACCAGACCAATCACGAGACCCAGACAGCCACGGTCACGGGTAAGTGGCGATGCATTCTTCCCCTTTTGATGATCGGGTAAAAATAGACTCGCGCTAATGTAGGGAAATAGATGCAATCTTAGCTTTCATCTGTGACATCCGTACTGTCCTACATTGTGCGACCAGCACAGGGATCTTGAATCCGGCTACTGGATGGAAACGCTTTGAATGGTGGCGTTCTGATGCATTCCGAGACCCTAATGTTCTATCCCAAACCATTACCTCTATCAGCACCCGGTCCCTAGAAAGTTGACGCCTGGCCCTAGTCGGAGAGCCTCCATGGCCATCTCGGCCTCTTCATCGCCACTCAAGCCGTCGAGGTTCTTCAACTGCCAGAACGCGCGTAGACCCTCCACCAATCTATGGGTGAAAGGCGCCACCGCATCGATATCCATGGGAGCAAAAGCCACCCGAATGTATCGGTACGCCTTCGCAGCAGATGTGGGCGTTGCAGCGAACATACTACCCGGCCCAACAAGACACAGATATGGTTTCTTGGTCAGATGGATCCAACAGGCCTTGGAGAGCCGCTCGCCACTGAACTGAGAACGCAAGGGGTGGGTATCAAAGAAGATCTCAATCCAAGTGAACATGCCGCCCATCGGCCAGACAAAGTCAAACATCTGCACCCGATCTATCACCTCCCAGTCCTCGACATGATCTACTGTCGATCCCTTGTGGAAAAGGTACTTGTTCTCTTCCAGGACCGTGCACATGGCTTGCATGCGCTTTTCATAGCTACCGCGTAGACCTTCCAACCAGCGGACCCAACCGTCCATGTGCCAACCCGAAGACACTTGTTTGGACCGAGCGGTGTTGTCCTCTTCTGACTTTCCAAAGATCATCCCCGCCACTAGAGACTGAACAAATCCAGATGGCTGCTGCGTAGTAACCTCTGTAATCCGAGCGAAGCGCTCGATAAATGCTGGCTGCGCTGTAATCCAGCCAAGTCGACTGCCAGGTGCGATGGTCTTGGAAAATGTGTCCAGTCTCACTACCCGGCCCTCGGTATCAATAGATAGATATGAGGGAACCAGTGAATCCAGGAACGCATAGCCTGACGACTTCCCCTCTGCGTTGTAGTTCTTGGTATACAAATTGGGCTCAGGAGACGAGCCACGATAATGAACAGTCTTCTCATACGCAGATGGAAACTGCAAATTCCAATACGGTTCATCTTCGACGATAATCACATCGTATCTCTGGCAGAGGGCGTAGATCTGCTTTCGTCGCTCGACTGAAAGTGTACCTCCGGTAGGATTCTGGCCGGTTCTGTAACAGACAGTTAGTGTAATCCACCCACGGCAACTTCTGTCCAAAGTACGTTATATACTTACGCTACAGTATACATTAAATGAGGCCGGCGACCGCGCCGGAAATCCCAATTCTCCAACACATCCTTCAATCCACCTTTACCAGTAGCAAGCATACCTTGGCCATCCATCGCAACGCTGGCAATATTCAGTCCGCGAGGCCGAGCTGTCTGAATGGCATTCATATATGCCCACTCCTCGCACAAGACACCTTCCCGCTGTTGGATCCAGTCCCGGTCGGGGTTCCATATATTCGTAAATGCCTCGACTGCTTTGTGAAAGCCATCGGTCGATCCGCAGGTCATGATGACATCAGGACCACCTGCATATGGAATATTTGGGTGGAGATGTTCGCGTGTGAATTGTCGCAGGAATGTAGATAGAGGTGCGATGCCTTCAGCGGTGCCATATTGTAGGGCTGTGGCTAGGTCGATTCTTCGTGAAACATCTTTTGTGTGGCTTTCCTTTGGAACTGTTACTCGCACTGAGGTTTTGACGTCTTCGTTGTTGGTTGGTTGGAAGCGTTGTGGTAGAGCGACTTTGGCTTCGAGTGTATCGTACGGGAAGTAGGATGGGTGTGGCAAACCTGTAGAGATTGTCAGACATGGTATTTAGATTAAGATATTTTCAGGTGTATTTTACCTCCTGCAAAATTGGCGATTCCGGGGATTTGGAAGTATTTATAGAAATCTTTGACGCTGCTTGGTTTCTTGTTCTTCGTCGCGTAGGATAGGTGGTGCGACAAGTCCAATGGGAGTGGAGCGCTTGCTGTCATGGTGATCGGCGCCAATTCAACGGGCTTGCATATGAGAGTATAAACGTGCAAATCAGAGAAAATGGAGTAAATAGAGTAAATAGAGCAACTATAAAGTGAAAATAGAGTGGAAATAAAGGATAACTGTAACCAGAAGCAAGTTGATTATAAAACAATCGGAAACCCCGGCCCACCCCCCGCAGTGCTTGATAAGCAACGCCAGACCGGGGGTTTCTCTGCGTCTAACTCGATCTGACAGGTTGGAACTGGCTTCATTGGCCATTGGAAGTCTATCTTATCTCGTGCCAGTGACACTATGGCGATAGATGGGGGAAGAGTTGGCTCAAGGATCTTGTAACCGAGTGGTTGCTGTTGTGGTGATACTTTTCTAATATGGCGAGCTCACTGCATGAGACAATTGATGATGTGGCATAAGTAGACAATGCCCTGGACTTAAAGGCTCTAGGAATCGAGAAAAGAAAATGCCCTTCTATTGAAAGATCAAATGCTGCCTCCAAAAATTTCATCCGGTTCGAATGCCTAAGACAAAAGGCACATATATAACTTAACTTAGTCTTCTAAAAGATCTTCGGCCAGGTAACGGTGTAAAATAAAATCCGCTACTTACTCATTCTAATTCCTGATTATGAGTTATTGATCTAGATCCTACTACGTCACGAGAGTGTATCATTGTCCATCTCACATTTGGGTCATTCCAAAACCGGCCTGTTGACATCTGGACCCCCACCAAGGCTTTTTCCCGATCATCTACTAAAATTTAAACTAGAAGGCGATCTTAGCGATTGGATAGGTCTTCCTCTACGAAAAATCCTTGGTCGCCATCCTTTTAGCATGGGCTTGGCGCTAGCTTTGAGACGTAAGACGTTACTACCATTATCTTAATTGAACTTGCTGAGGTGAGACTGTATATTATAGTTCATTGGCATCCTCAGGGTATTCCAGTCCATCAGGATAAATAGAGCGTTGTCTTCTATCTATCAAAATCAGATTGACATTGTTCCCACTGATATAGTGCTACGATATATATATGACCCATACCACCTCTGTACTCCCAAATAACAATGCACACGATCATAATGGCCGCATCCTTGGATCTTGTCAACCAATCCTTTGTCAATGAACTCTCGAAAGGAACCCCTCTATACGAAAAGACCCCAACAGAAGCACGCCAAATCCTCGAGGATGTCCAGAAACACACACCAGCGTCTGATGTCACCCAAGAAGAGTTCAAGATCCCCTATGAGTCCTACAATGTGAAGACAATTATATTCAGACCAACAGATGCCAGCGGTTATCTGCCTACTATCTTCTACACGCATGGAGGTGGCTGGATCCTGGGAAGGTATCGCCCTACCGTTGTCACCCTTTCAGATGGCAATAATACTCACCAATTCTAGCCCCACTGTTCACGGATCTTTGATGGAAGACCTTGCGCGACAAACCAGCGCAGCTGTAGTATTCCCATACTATAGCCCTGCCCCTGAGAAGCAGTATCCTACTCAATTTGAGCAATCATTCGCGGTGTTGAAGTATATTGTTGAGAATGGGGAGAAGCATGGCTTGAAGACGGATACGCTCGCTCTGGCTGGTGATAGTGTTGGCGGTAATCCACTTCTTTTGACGAACAGGAAGGACCATAACTGATAACTTATACCCATAGGCCACATGGCCATCGCAATGGTCCAACTAGCCCACACCCGCGACTTACCCATCAAGCTGTGCCAACTGATCCTCTTCTATCCGGTCACCGACACAGCAGAGAAAAGTGCCACATATACAATCTACAAGGACGGTCCTTACCTCACCGAACGCACGATGGACTGGATGATAGGTGCCTTTCTACCGAACGAGGAGGACAGACGTAATGCGCTTACGTCGCCATTGAAGTATGCATCGGATGAAGAGCTATCCAAGTTTCCTCCAACCACTATCTTTCTGTCGGGTGCGGATCCCCTTATTGGAGAGGGTCGGGCTTTCGGGTTGAGGTTGCAGAAGGCTGGAGTTGAGACTGCCTTTTTGACGGCTGATGGGCAGATTCATGATTATGTTATGCTTGAGCCTATTCGGGGGACGGCGACTGCTAAAGCTGTTGTTAATCTGGCTGCGCTGCATTTGAAGAGGGCATTGGATGTGTGAGTTGTATATACTGTTTTATATACCTGATTTGTTTGCCAATGAATCCGTTTGTAGGGTCCTTTCAGCTTGATGTAAAGCATTTGAAACAGAGAAATTCCAATTAATATTAATTTCTGTATTGCAAGAAATCCCAATCAGACATAGACTTTTAATTAAAGAAAGTGTCATATAAAAGTCTCGGTAGTTCTCAACTAAGAATCCAAAGCCAGTTGATGCCTGAATGCCTGACCATAGCCAACATAGTTAATCTCCGACACAATCCGCAATCTTCACCCCGCACGAGCTCAAGCTCCCAACAATGTCACCCAACCCAGAAAACCAAGACCTAGCCGAAGAAATCGAAGCAGTAAATGCCATCTACGAACCAGACACAATAACAGTAACGCGCACCCCCAACGGCACATCCAAGAACACGCTCGACCTGGGCAGTCCTGCGCAATCCAACGACACTGCACAAACAACAGTGAACCTCCAAATCCCAGGCCAACCTCATCTGTCATTTATCATCGGGTTTGAAGCCTCATACCCAGATTCCAGACCTACAGTGCTAGGAACAGCATCGACAGCCGCGCGCGGCGAGGGTAAGATCGCAATTGATGTACTGGAAGATATTGTCCAGCGAACATGGCAGCCCGGGGCGGTATGTCTATTCGACGTGATCAGTGAAGCTGTGGAGGTCTTCCCGGAATTGAATATCGGCGGAGGGGGTAAAGACGAGGCTGGTGAATCGGGAGATTCGTCAATGCAAGCGCAAACCCAAAATGACGCATCGACATTTGATGACACGACGGCGGAGAGCTTTGAGGCTTTATCGCTTCGTGATGCGTTTGGCCTTGATAGCCCGCCTGATTGGATCCTTTCGGATGTTGCTACGGAGAAGAAGTCTGTGTTTGTGGGTCGTGTTGCGCGAGTTCAGAGTCTTGCGCAGGCGCAGGCTTACCTTGATCATCTTACTGCTACTGATCGAAAGGTTGCTGCTGCGACGCATAATATTAGTGCGTGGCGGATTCGGCAGAGGAAGACTGAAGGGAATGGGGAGGAGGGGGAGACGATTGTTCAGGATTATGATGATGACGGGGAAACTGCTGCTGGAGGGCGGTTATTGCATGTCATGCAGTTGATGGATGTGTGGAATGTGGTTGTTGTTGTTACGCGGTGGTATGGTGGGATTCATCTTGGCCCGGCGCGGTTCCGGCTCATCAATGATGTTGGTCGTGATGCGTTGGTCAAGGGTGGGTTCACCAAGGAGGAGGGGACTGCTGCTGAAAAGGGAAAGAAGAAGGGCAAGAAATGAAGGAGAAACTCGTTCTCTATCCTTGATTGCTTCAGTCGTTGGGATTTCCTCTTGTGATCTCTTTTCACATGGGAGACGTCTGGCCCCATAAAGGACAGGGATGATGAAACAACCGTGCCCGTTTGAAGGGATGCTTGATGGAACCTCAGCAGGCATCGATGAGTCTAGTATCTTCGGATACGACCTTCCTGAAAGTGATCAGGAGACACTTGATATCTATCCACGACCGAACTTGACCAGAGAGGGGAAATGCTGCTTACTTGGCTCATCTCACCACCTTGAGACAATGTCAGCGCCTCACTTGCCCGCACAAATGGATCTGCACCTCAATCAAGCGTCAACCAGGGGTCCCCAGTTCGAATGAAACATACCGTGGGACCTCTTGTCACTCGGGCACAATGTGACAAGTGTCTGGCATGACCTCTGCGCAAAGGCCCAAATAACAGAGTCAGAAAATCTCTACGTCGGCAAATGTACGACCCGGCAAACATTCGAGAGAGCCTTCCGATATAGTGCATATTCCAAATCGAGTAAACATGGTCAAAGACGACGTACTGGGTCCAAGTCCAGGTCCAGGTCGACCGTCAAATTTTCACCTCTAGCATCCACCCACAACCCGAAACACTCGGATAACCATCGTGTAGAACCAGCAGAAACCGGGTTGTGAGGGATAGCAGCGCATGCGAACGGTCTGCAGCCATGATGCAGGGTCTACCGCCAATTTCCACTCTCACACCGAGATCCCGCGGATCCAACATTTGACTGCTCAATTTTGAGGTTATACCCACTGTAGACGCTTAACGAAATAGTCATGCCCATGCGATAGAAGTCAGGAATGAGTATATGAAGGTTAAGAGTGAGTATAGTTAGATAGAGATCAACGTTTAGTTCCCATAGCAGGAGACAACCATGGTACAGTACAGTGCAACGGACGAGTCATAGTGGTTGTAGATATGGATTGCGATCTTGCTTCGGACATAGATCGGAGTCTCCAGTCGTTCTAGGTTGGGATAGCCGAGATTTGTGATCTGTTGAAATTGCAGGGTTTGACTCGGGGATAACTTCAATGCCGACATTTTGTATATCTGAAACGGGTCTAGAAAGAGGTTATGGGGGGGTTCGCTTGGAACCGCTCGGGATGATTGCTTTTTTCTCCATAGAATGACGGATTTGAGATCCGCCATGTACATCTTCAGTTAAGAGAGGTGGATCTATCGGAACCTAGACCACGTTTTGTGAAATTGACGGAGCTTGACGTCTGTCAACTGCAACATGCTCGCTTGGCAGGTTCTGAGGATCTTCAGACGCTAAACTGCACCGTACCTAAGGAGATTGGGCAATATAGATTGATCGCGGACTTTACAGAGAACTATACTATTCCCCCTTTGGTCCGCGAGATTGGATGGAAATTATAGCGCGAAGCGTACCCCACATAAGTGCCGGCAGATCCAGTAAGGGCTGAATCGAATGCCACGGGGCTTTTGAGCTTTCGATGTCGAGTAGATTGATGCTGCGTCATCGCAAGATATTTTGGGTTTGTACAGGTCGCAAGGGGAAGACGTTAGGCCAATTCTTACTGGGATGGGGATGAAGAGGTGCATAGGGGTCGATCTGTCAGGCAGCGTAACATCAAACTGCCGAGTGATTTGTCCTCGACCCGCTTGCAAAAAAAGAGGGCGGCTACAGCCACGGCCAATACACAGAAACATCGTGTGCCAGCGGTTGATGGTGCGACAAGCCAGGGGCAGTGGAGGTGGTGCCTTGCGCCGCTGGGCATCGTGGTTGGCCCGTCATCAGCCGCCCAGCCTCAGACCGGCAGATCGCAGGTTCTGGGGGTGAATACCGAGTCTCCTACTGGTTGTGGGCTGGCAGTTTACGTTCGATGTTCTCTGTCGGATCTAGCAGTTTTCTCTTCTGAGTGGAGGCGAACATGAAACATCCCAGCTTGCCTCCACCTGAGCGGAAGTACAGATCGACCAAGCGGATGGGATACCTTGGCCCTGAAGAGGAGATCAAACCTGGCGAGTGTGTCTAGTTAATTGCTATGCAGTGTAGCATCGTCTCCATATTCCAAGAGTCGGATTTCCGTTGTCGCTTAGTGGGCCCGAGAGTTCTCCATGTATGAATATAAAACCCCCCGGCAAATGCTGCATGGTTCTTCCTTTTTTCTCTGTACATTCCAGTCTCTTCTTTTCTTACTTTGACGGTTCGACTACCAGGCTAGTCCTGTGTTTCATTCTCTCCTTTTTCTTGGTAGTTTTGCCTGTGGCAGACTCCGACAGTCCCTTCTGATTCACAAAGAACACATTCACATTCATCAAAGACGCTGGGATCAAAAGCTTAGCTTATTGTTTCTGAGACATCGCGTCACTTGGCCACAAAAGGTATTGTTTGTTTCCGGTCTTTAATTGTTTATTGTCTGGGGGCTGGTGAATAGAATCCATGACGCATTTTGTTTCGTCTGATATCAGAATCCTATTCAACAGGTTGTCATTGGGATTGTTCTATATCTAACCGCCTAATATATCTCCAAGCTCCTGTCCTTCTTGCTTCTTGCTTCAATATGATATCTTCGCTTCAAGCACTAACATCCTGCAGCTCTTCATTCTTTTCAACCAAACCACCAAGGTCCAATCTTTTTGACTGCTCTTGATTTCATTCGTCTGGCACGAATCGAATCCACTTGCAACTGTAAATTTCCGTCGAACCAGATTTGAAACCGAAAAGTCCATTTACATTCACCATGATGTTCACCAAGTCCAACATCCTGGCTGCCATGCTCGGCGCCTCTGCCGCCAGCGCCCATATGATTATGTCCTCGCCCACCCCTTACAGCAAGGACACTCTTAACAACTCTCCTCTGGCAGCCGATGGCAGCGACTTCCCCTGCAAGCTGCGTGACAATGCCTTCGAGGCCCCCGCCACCGAGACCGTCATCGGCATTGGCGAGTCCCACCCCCTGACCTTCGTAGGAAGCGCCACCCACGGCGGCGGGTCCTGCCAGATCAGTTTAACCACCGACTTGCAGCCATCCAAGAGCTCCGAATGGAAGGTGATCAAGTCCTTCGAAGGTGGCTGCCCTGCTAACGTCGACGGCAACCTGTCCGGTGGCGCCGGCGCCGCCGACCCCGACACCTTCAGCTTCAAAATCCCCGAGGGCATCGCCGCTGGCAAGTACACCTTGGCTTGGACCTGGTTCAACCGCATCGGCAACCGCGAGATGTACATGAACTGCGCTCCCATCACCGTCTCTGGCGGCTCTTCCAAGCGTTCCATCGACCAGGACAACGAACTGTACTCCAACTCCACCCAGATCTTCGACAAGCGCTCTTCCAGCTTCCCTCCCATGTTCGTCGCCAACGTCAACGGCTGCACTACCAAGGAGGGTGTTGATATCCGCTTCCCCCAGCCAGGTGAATACGTCGAGTACCTCGGCAAAGCCTCCAACCTCGCCGCTGAAGGTTCTGAGGCATGCACTGGCACACCTACCTTTGGCGGTGACGGTGACACCAGCTCCGGATCTTCCTCAACCAGCTCTGGCTCCAACTCTGGCTCCAACTCTGGCTCCAGCTCCGGTTCCTCCGACTCTTCTTCGTCTGCTGAAGCCAGTGCTCCCAGCGCAACTGCCTCTGTCTCCGTGGCCCCGGCTCCTGTCGCTACCCCCTCAAGTGCCCCCTCTGCCCCCGACGCTGTTCCCTCTGCCTCG